TGGTTTCTCAGAGGCCAGAGCGAGACCCAAAACGCAGAGGAAGGTCACTGCTGCTCCAGGATTCATACTCGCTATGAATTACATTGCTGACTTCACACCCAGAGAAGCATCTTTCTTCTTTTAGGTGGAAATATATATTTATTTTTTTGTAAGTTATACCATTCTTTCACATTGGATAAACCAAGTTTTTCTTGGGGATCTTTTTCTAATGACTTACACTGGAAACGTGAACATTTGCAAGTAATTTACAGTAAAAAAAAAAATTTTGTTTCTTACTGAACAACTGCTCTGTTTTCTTTGGGGTGTTAGCTGCGGGTTCTGCCATGTCCTTCAGAAGTCAGGACAGGGTTACCCTCTTGCCTGCTTCTGTTCTTTGTCTTTGGCAAACCCATTGTCTCCAGTGGGAGCTCTTGTCCAGGAACGGGACCTGAGAGGTGAAGACACAGGTGGGGTTCAGTGGGGAATTGGCATGGCACCGTGGACAGAGCCTGGGCTTGAACCCTGCCCTTGCGGTTTGCTGACTGGGTGACCCTGCACGAGTCACTGGAGTCCGTCTTTGCCACAGCTGCCTTGTCTGTAAAACGGGGCTGATCATACCTGCCCCGCGGGATTGTTGTGCTGATGAGCAGTGATGTGTTTGTGGCACGCACGACCTTGGTCATCTAAGACACAAGCCAGGCAAAGGTCCCATGTGGCCAAAGTTAGCTGAGAAAATCTCTGTGTTAGGTAGGCCAGGCTGTGCTGGGGTAGCAAATTAGCCGTGAACTCTTAGGAAATGAATACCTGGGTTTATCTCTCACTCAGGGCATTTTTTGATGAGTGCCAGATCCTCTCTAGGGTCTTCCTGTCTTCCCTGCAGCAACAGAGAGACCCAGGCTGTTGTGGTCTTACAGCATCACACCGCCCAAGGGCTGGCTTGTGGAGATCGGCACCACAGGGTGGGGGGAAGTGGGCAACAGGATGACGCACCCCCGTTCTTAAGTGCCCCAAACCGGAAGCGATACAAATCTGTTTCACTCAGCCCAGTGGCCAGAGGCAGTCACGTGGCCCCAGCCCCACCGCAAAGGAAGCTGGGAGATGCAGGGGGAGGTAAGGAAGAGCAGTACCTCCCCTAGTGGTCATTCTCGTGGTCTCTGATTCGTGTCTAGCGGGGAAGTGAGGCTGGCGTGTTGGGTTTCTGTTTGCACCGGGTGAGTCTTGCTCGTGAAGAGTTGCCGTGTTTGGGGAGCAAGCCATCCATGCTGCACCCTGAAAGCAGGCTCCTGAGTAGCCGCGCAGAGCGGGCATCTCGCCATGTCACCCGGAGCATGGACGTGCTCAGTCAAGAGAGGCTGGTCAGCTGGTTCCCCTTGGAAGGGAAGTATTTGGATATGCCATGTGGGGGGTCAGTTTTAGGGGTGAGGTCCCAGGCCAGATCCTAACCAGGTGTCCCAAGTGTGCGACCTGGTGTGTGCCTCGTGGGCGTGCGCCGTGGGACAACCGGTGCTCAGGAGGGTCGCGGGCCTGGGTTCAAGCTCACACTGCTTCCTGAAGAGGAGACTGCGTGCGGCCTTAACCTCGGAGACGGTGGCATCCGAAGCCCCGAGGCTGGGGCTGGGGTAAGCGCTTCAGTGCCGTGGAAGGAGCAAGGGGGGCCCCTCCCGCGTGCCCGGCCCTGGGCTCGGTGCTTAGCCTCGCTCCCGTGGGAAGGGACCCCCCCCAGGCCAGAGCGGAGTGGGGAACAGGCGTGATGCTTCCTGCGTGGGTCCCACAGCACATTCCAGCAAAGCACTCGGAATCTGACCACTTCTCTGCCCTCCAGTTGCTGCCACGCGGGTCCGTGTCGTGCCCCTGTGACCGCCACCTCAGCGATCTCCCTGCTGCCCTGGCCATCCCCCCTCCCCCCGGTACAGTCTGTTCTCCACCCAGCAGCATCGTGTGCCTTTAAAAACCCTCCATCACAACCCTCCAGTGGTCCCCGTGTCTGGTGGCAGCCAGCTTCCCTGCACACCCTGGCTTCCCGTCCGTAAGCTCTGCCTCCAGCTCCCCTCTGGCCACCTAGCAGGCCCCTCCAGCCACAAAGCCCCTCTGCTGTCCTTCCAGCATGCCGGGCACTGTCCCGCCCCTGGGTCTTCCCTCTGCCCCAGATGTCAGCATGGCTGGTCGCTGCCCTCTTTTCTTTCACAGTGGCGGCTCCCCGAGAGCAAGGCTCTGATTGCCTTACTCCGTAATGACTGCCCACCCTGGGCCCATAGCTCACCCCCGGTGACTGCCTTCTCTGATCCAACACCGACCGCGCCATGCCGGGCCCTGGGCCAAGTGTGACGTCATCGGGCCCTCTAGAACCTGCCTTTCAGGAGCTGTGGTTTCTTCATTGGTACAGCTGGGATTGTTTTGTCCATCTGGCCAGGTGGGTGTGAGGATGGAAGCCGATGCAGGTAAAGCACCCAGCGCCACGGGCGCTTGGCCCTCCGGACACCATCCTACATGGTGATGGCTTTCATTCATTCGTTTGTCCATCCAGCCATCCCTATATCCAGCCACCCATCCATCCGTGCAATCGTCATTTATTAAACATGGCCACGGGCTGTGCACTGTGCGGGATGCTGGGAGACACAGTGAATGCATGTGAACACATCCCTGTGTCAAGAAGGAAAGGAGCCCATTCCTTCCCTTCTGGGGGTGGGGGGTGGGGCGCGGTGCTGCCAGAGTGGAATTCAGCCGTCAGCGAGCTGACGTTCTAGAGCTAAAGGAGTGTGCACGAGGCGGCTCAGTGGTTAGGATGTGGGCTCCGGCTCCAGGCCACCCGGGGTTCAGATCCCTGCATTTTCTCATCGGTGAAAGGGGCCTCACGAAAGTGTCCTAGTAAGGTGCTAACCCTGGTCCCTTCCTCCCCCCATTGTAAGGATTCACTGAAAGGCTGTGGCAGGCATCGGGGCAGGGCTTGGTGTGTGTCAGCAGTGACGCGAGGGGACATGGGAGGAGGAAGGACCAACCGAGACGGGCACTGACCACAGGTCTGTACGTGACTTTCCCTGTAGCTGTCTCCCCACGAGCCTTTGGCACGGTCTCCGGGGATCCGTGGTGTGCGCCCCCCCCACAGCACCCTCATTAGTGCTGGCTCCCATAGCACCCATCCCCTCTGTCCGTGAAAAAGCCTCCAAGGACCCCGAGTGCGTTTGCCAAACACACAGCGGCTCCCGCTTTTGCCTGCGGTCCATGTGGCCGGATGTCAGGGGCCCCGCTCCAACCAAAGTGCAAAGTGCTGCATCTGGTCCCTTCCTGTCCTTCCAAGTTGGGCAGGATCCCCCAAGCGATGCCTTGGGCTATGGTGTTAAGTAGACCCAGGACAGACCCCCCTCACCCCCGCCAGCCCGCTCTGCCGCTAACAAGCCCGGTGATCTTGGCATGCCAAGGTCATGTGAGCTCTCTCGGCCTCATTTTCTGCATTTCCGAAACGGAGTTGGTAGGTGCTAGTAATGGTGGGGCCAGCCCTTCGGAGGCAGGACTGGGGGCTGGCAAGGGATGCAGCCCTCTGACCCCACTTGGAAGGCATCCAAATGAGCTTCTGGCCACACCTTGGCGGAGGGACGTAGAAGCTGCAGTTAGATCTAGATTTAGTTTCCTCCGGGCTGAAAACCCTACGCTGGATAGAACAGCGTAAGGTCCCTTGACGTGGCTGGGACAGGGTGGGTGGGTGTCCACAGGCCCTTCCTGATAGAGCAACACAGCTGCTGTCCGTGTATCTGGGTGAACGGTGGGTTGGCTTAGCCCAGTCCCTCTCAATCAGGTGACTGATCCCCCAGGGGACAGTTGGCAGCATCTGGAGACATCTTGTCACAACAGGTGACGGTATGATTGGCATCTAGTGAGGAGAAGCCAGGGATGCTGCCGAGCATCCCACAGTGTGCGACCCAGAATCATCAACCCCACGTCAGTAGTGATGCGGTTAAAAAAAAAAATCCTGGCGTGTATACCCTCTGCCCCACGGAGGACCCAAGGAGCTCCTCCAACAGAACGGTATTGACACTAATAATGAAAGTTGATTGAGCACGTACTTTGTGCCCAGCTCAGCTCAGACGCTTGCACGTATTAACTTTATCCCCGCAGCGATGCCACGAGGTCACGGCAGAACCCTGGGCTGCCAGAAAGTTCTCATCCAAGGCTTGGACTCGTTCTCATGCCGCCCTTCACTGCAGCGTGTCTGTGTGACCTCAGGCTTGGCTATCTTAGACTCTGGTCCCTCTTGGCCCAGGCACGCAGCCGGCTTTAGCCACGCCGTATCAGGTTTCCGACTGCGGAGGGAAACAGGCCGAGCCCCATAGCGCGCCATGCTGGTGCCTCCCCTGGACGAGTGAGCAAGACCTGGCCCAGCTCTGCCGCGGACCTGGGGCTTCCAACAGTCTCCCGAGGACACTCTCCGACTGATGCACCCGCTGGTGGGCCTCCCCTCCCCCCACCCCCCCGCCCCCCACCGCCACCCGCCTGCCCCCAGGAGCTAGAATTTGGTCTTTCACACATATGCAGTGTGTACCCTGAGCAAATTCTCTCCGTGGGGCGCCTAGGAGTCCCTGGCTCCGCAAATCTTGTTTTTGGCACTGAAGGTGCTGGTGTGGGGGGCCGGCCTTTTTTTGGGAGGGGGGGTGGGGGGGGGTCGACCTGTGTGTTGGTTCAGACAAGACGCTCCTTGGGGCTCACCTATGAGGGTGGAGGGGCAGCAGCAGGAGGTGTGGAATTCCCTGGAATCCTATGGGGAGCTTAAAAAAAATACCAGAATGGAGAGCGCATCAGCGCCTGGTTGCGGGTGGGAGGAAGGCGGGTATGGTCACAACATGGTGACCGGAGGGGTCCTGGTGGTGCTGGACGTGCTCGGCATCCCGACTGGTGGTGGCAGGTGCAGAAGCTTGCCCAGGGACACGTGCGTGTGTGTGCACGTGCACAAATCCAAGTGAAAGTGGGGAAATCCGAACAGCATCGGCCAATGGTACCAATGTCACTATTCTGGTTATGATACTGTACTACTGTTTTTCAGGATGTTGTTGTTGGGGGAAACAGAGTAAGGCTACCCAGGAACTTTCTGGATTATTTCTCATAATTGCTTGTCCATCTACAACCATCTCAAAATAAAGGGGGTAATTTGTAAAAGGACATGCTCCACTGCCCCGGCCCCAGCCCCAGGGATGTTGATTTTCAGGGTCTGTGGTGGAGTCCGGGCATGGGTGGATTTTTGAGCCCCTCGGGTGAGGCCCCTGGGCAGCCAGCGCGGAGAGCCACCAGCGACTTCAGCTTCGGGGTGGGACGAGGCTGGACGAGCCCTGATCAGACCGACCTGGGCATTGCTGGGTCCTCCCAGGTCTGTGACGGTTGGCCACTTCTGCCATTTTCCTCCCAGAGAGCAGTGCCAACCGGTGACGCCTGGGTCCCTGGCACCCCCAGGGCACAGGAGTCTCTCTGGACTGGTACAACGAGGCGAGGGTTGAGGGCTCAGACCAGGCCTGATTCCTGTGCCAGCCTGTAAAACAGGCCCTTCTGGGCCAGCAGCTGGGCTGGGCTGCCACTCTCTGCCATCTGCCCCTTGTCCATGACCAGCACCCTGCAGGGTAGAGGGAAACGAGCGGCTCTTAACCAGCCCAGCCGTCCCGGGCGCTCTGCTGCCGAAAGCCCAGCGTGTCTGTTCTGGAAGAGTCTGGCCTTCCCTGCAGTTTCCTGCCCCGGGCAAGCAGGGTGGAAGCATCAGCTGGGCTTGAGTCCTTGGCCCCTCCCTTCCCCTCGGGGCATCCGTTCTGCCTCCTGTAGAGTGCGCACTCTCTAATCCATACCAGCGCCCCTCGGGCTCTAAACCCCGCCTGCTTCCTCTGCCGCTGCAGGGGTGGCGGGGCCGGGGGAGCCCCTGAGGGCCAGCCGGGAGAGGAGTGCGTACCTGGCGCAGTCCATCACAGAGCACAGGCGGTGGGCGATGAGCAGCACTGTGCACCGGGCGAACCAGCTGCTGAGGGCAGCCTGCATCTGGAGCTCCGTGCCCGGGTCCACGGCGGCCGTGGCCTCATCCAGGATGAGGATCCGGGTTTTCCGGAGAAGGGCCCGCGCCAGACACAGGAGCTGCTTCTGGCCCACGCTGGGAATGAGTGGGAGAGTCAGGCCGGACACTGGTGTGCCTGCACGTCAGGATGGGCAGGGTCTGCCCACAGATGGGGCGTCCCCCGACAGCTGCAGAAGTTGGGGGAGTGTGTGTGTGTGTGCACATGCACGTCTACGCGTGGGTCGGTCCCAGGTCCACAGAGCTGGTAGGAATCCCCATCCTGCCATTTTTGAGCAGGGTGACTCGAGGCAAGTCATTCAAACCCCAGTGCCTCAGTTTCCCCAGCAGTGAAACGGCTATTTCTGTTTCTGTTCTGGGGTTCTCACCTGGTGCCAGACACACGAGTGAGTGCGTGTGCATATGCTGGGTCACTTCTCACAATGATCACCAAGGTGGTTACTGTATTAACGAGTCTTGTGACTCCTGAGGGTGTGAGGACAATACAAGTCACATAAAGTGCTCAGTGGTCTGCTTGCCCCAGAGAAAGCCCTCAGCACCCGGGAGCTTGTCCTACTCTAATTACAGAGAGGGAAGTTGAGGCTCGAGAGCACACAGTCTGTGAGACCCCGCACCCTGGAGACCCAAGGGTGTCTGGGGCGCTTTCCTGCCATGCTTAACCAACTGAGCCACCCAGCCGCCCCCAAAATGTCTTGGTTTTGAAAAAAAAAAAAAAAAAAAAAGCACACACCATACACCTGGCAGCATTCTTCACAGTAGCCAAAAGGCGGAAGCAACCCAAGTATCCATCAATGAATGAATGGATGAAAGAGATGTGGTCTATCTGTACAATAGAGTATCGTTCAGTCTTAAAAAGGAAGGAAGTCCTGACACCTGCTGCAACGTGGAGAACATTGTGCTGAGCGAAATAAGCCAGCCACTTAAACGAGATACCCAAAGTAGCCAAATGCCTAGAAATAGCAGAATGGCGGCTGCCGGGGGCTGCAGGCTGGGGAAAATAGGGAACTGCTTCTTTAATGGGTATAGGGTTTCAGTTTTGCAAGATGACAAAGTTCTGGAGATGGCTTGCACAATGGTGGCGATGTACTCAACACTACCAGTTGTACATTAAAACATGGTAAAGATGCTCAATTTTGTGTGTATTTTACAATTAAAATTTCTTTAAAAAGGCATAGGCCAGGGACACCTAGGAGGCTCAGTCGGTTAGGCGTCCGACTCTTATTTGGGCTCAGGTCATGATCTCAGGGTCATGAGATCAAGCCCTGCCTTGGGCTCTGCGCTGGGCGTGGAGCCTGCTTGAGATTTTCTCTCTCCCTCTCCCTCTGCCTCTCCCCCACCCCCCACTCGCACGCGTGTGCTCTCTCTGTCTCCAAAAAAAAAAAAAAGCATAAACCATATGTTACTCAATACTCCCAGTGAGCGTGTGGTTAAGCACCAATATCAAACACCATACTTTTGCAGCAAAATAAATGCTGAGTGGGATAAAGAGAGACCATAAGTAGTAGCCTTGTGTGGGTAAAGGTTGGGTTTTGTCACCCAGATACATTTAGGGACTGAATTTAGGAAAAAGAACCTGTCTACTCAGAGCCTGTGTTGGCGTTTGGGATTGCTGATAAGCGACGGGTTCATACCGTGAGTACTGACTGAATGGGGCTGACTTCCAGGGCACATTAGCCCGGGGCTGACCCCAGTCGGGGCGTGGGGGGGGCAAGCCTACCTCAGGCTGTGACCTTGCTCGGCACACTCATACTGCAGCTGGCCCGGCAGGCTGGCCACCACGGCTCTGAGCTGCACTGTCTCCAAGGCTTCCCAGATGGCCTCGTCCGTGTGCTCATTCAGCATGTCCAGGTTCATCCGCAGAGAGCCGGGGAACAGCGCGGAGTCCTGGCCGGAAGCGGGCAGAGGGTCAGAGCCGGGCCCGGCCGTGCCTCTCACCTCTGCCCACCCCGTTCCCCCCAGACCTCACCTGGGGGATGATGGTGATCCTGGACCGTAGCGTGTGCAGCCCCACGTGGGCGATGGGGACCCCGTCGATCCAAATCCCCCCCTCGGCCGCCTCTAGGAGCCGCAGGAGGCCCCCGGCCAGGGAGGACTTCCCGGCCCCCGTCCTGCCAACGATGCCCACCTGTCAGGGGATGGGAGGCGAGGCTCATTCTGACCAGGCCCGACCAGACGAAGGCAGGCGACGGGCCGGAGGGTCCCCGGGCATCTCTGCGAGGTCTTTCCCCTGTGCCCAAGGTCCATCCGTCTATCCATCATCCTTTGAGTGTCCGTCCTTTCTTCTGTCCCTCTGTCCTTTCATCTGATTACCTTTCCATCTACTCAGGCCATTCTATCCAACCTTCTTTCTGGACATTATTACCTTCCGCCCCCACCGTCCCATCCTCCATCAGCATTTACTGTTGCATTCTCAGTGTCTGACACTCCGTGGAGGTCCGGCACGATTTGTTTTAAGAAGTGAATGACGTGTGTCTCCCCTTGAAGGACAGGCACTGTTCCAACCACCAGGAATACAGAAATGAAGGAGTCCTTGCTCCAAAGAGCTCCCTGTGTGGTCTGGGAATAGTGCAACTGAGCATACTTCATTTGAATACAGTGGGATGAACAAGCCCCCTCTATAATCAAACTCTGGACCTGAAGCTGCCCGGGATGGGGGTGGTTAATGGGGTAATCAGAGAAGCTGCCCAGGATGGGGGTGGTTAATGGGGTAATCAGAGAAGGCTTCATGGTGGAGGGGATTCTTGAGTGGCATCTTGAAGGATGAGTAAGAGTTTGGGGAGGGGGAAGATTCCAGGTCAACCACACTAAGTGCCAGACTGTAAACTCCCCGAGGGCAGCACTGGGTGCCCACCTGGCCCAGTGAGGCGGCTACTCCACGGTGTTGGCTAAGCCCCAACAGGGCAATACATGGAGACTTGGGCACAGCCTCGAATGCCAAGCTCAGGAGTTTGGGCTTTCTTCTAAGGGAAGCTGGGAGCAGACGGAAGGTCCCAAGCAGGGGAACGACATGTCCGAATAAAGATCATAGGAAAACAGACGGGAGGTGGTGAAACGGGAGGCTGGGGGGCTCGGTTAGGGGCCTGGAGCCGTCCGGGGGAAGGCGGGAAGGAAGTGCGCCTGGGTGGGGAGTCCACGGGACTAAACATCTGTAAAATGGGATAATCCTAGTGCTTCTGCCTAGGGTTGTTCTCAGAGTAAAACTGCAAATGATAATGAATAAAAGCACTGGTAAACATTTCTGCAGCCCTGGCGAAGTGCCAGGCCCTGTTCCAGACAGTGTCCCTACGTATTAACTCAGTTAAGCTTCACAACAGCTCTAGGAGAGTGACCTTATGATTTCCAGTTTTACAGATGGAAAAACTGAGATGAAGACCTGAAGTGACTTGCCCAAGGTCAGCCA